GATAAAATAAATCAGGAACTAACCAGTCTGGGAAGTATCAAGTTTCAGATCGCAGTTAAAATGTCGCTCGAGAAGAACGTAGGGGGCGTCACTGAGTACGTTCAACCTTGCTTCAGAGGTATGCAAGAGGTTGTCACGCATACAGAGACCATAGACGCATCGATTGATACCAGTTTTCAGCAGATACGAGAACGCCTAGAATGCTACACACACTTGGGGTCCGGGTGGGCTGTAGATAAAATCGATAATGTCTATCTAGACATAGCTAACTACGTGCCGTTCAGAGGCGGGTCATACCTAGAATTGCCTCCCTACTATAAGAAAAAACATGCCATGGTAAACGTTAAGAATAGAGGAGACGATTGCCTTAGGGTAGCTACCAGGTCAGCCTTGTTTCCAGCTGACACTCATTCAGACAGGCTTTCTAGCTATCCTCAAGACGATGGGCTCAACTGGGATGGTATAGATGAACCAACCCCCATATCCCAGATCACTAAAGTAGAAAAACAGAATAATCTAGCTTATAACGTCTTTGGGCACGAAGGTAAAACAACAATAGTACACAGGGTCAGTCCAGTGTTGGGGGAGAAGGGTCGCCAAGTTATCAATATATTCATGATCCAACGAGGTGAAAAGTATCACTATACGTGGATAAAACATCTCAGCCGGTTGTTGCACGACCAGTCGAAATACGATGGGAAAAAACACTTTTGTGTGCGATGCCTACACGGCTTCACACGAGCTGATTTATTAGAATCCCACCGGGAGGATTGCCAAGGTGTGGGGCAGACGGCCATACGAGTCGACATGCCTGAGGAAGGTGACAATATCCTAAAATTCGACAACCACAAGAACCAAATGTCTGTGCCTTATGTCATATACGCCGACTTTGAAGCCTTGGTCAAACCAGTTGAGGCTGCCGCCGGCGTGGCTCCCACAGGTGAGAGCTTCACACAGAAAACACAGGAGCATGAAGTCTGTGGGTTTGGATACATTGTCGTCCGTTGTGATGGGAAAACGGAAACTCCCGTAGTGTACAGGGGTCCTTACGCGGTTGAAACTTTTCTACAAAGTATGCGGTGGGAAGAACATTTTATTAGGAATGCATTGTATAGAGTCGCTCCCATGCGTATGACCCTAACCGACAGGCTAGTTCACGACCGTAGCACTAATTGTCACGTGTGCGACTCGCCACTTAACGGTGATTCGGTAAGAGATCACTGTCACATAACCGGTAAGTATAGAGGCACCGCTCATAACGCGTGTAACCTCAAGCTTAAAATCAACCCTAATACAATAAACATCCCCGTGGTCTTTCACAACTTGAGAGGGTACGACTCACACTTGATCATGCAGGCCATCGCGAAAAGCGATGGTAATATAAAGTGCATCCCCAACAACATGGAAAAATACATCTCGTTCTCACTCAACGGCCTTAGGTTCATTGACAGCGCTCAGTTCCTCCTGTCATCGCTCGATAGTTTGGTCAAAGCCAACAATACCTTCCCCATCACTGGTCGATACACCAACGCCGAGACTAGACCCCTGCTTATGAGGAAGGGTGTGTACCCATACGAGTACACGGATGATTGGTCTAAGTTCGATGAGACCCGATTACCTCCCATCGATCGATTTTACAGCAGCCTGACCGAATCCTATATCTCCCAAGATGATTACGACCACGCGCAGAACGTGTGGGAGAAACTGGGATGTAAGAACCTGGGTGACTATCACGACCTGTACTTGAGGACAGATGTACTGCTGTTAGCCGACGTGTTCGAGACGTTTAGGCGGACGTGTTTGGAACAGTATCAACTCGACCCCGCATGGTACTACACCAGCCCAGGTCTGTCGTGGGATGCCTTGCTTAAAAAGACCGGAGTTAAGTTGGAATTGCTTACAGATTATGACATGCACCTATTCATTGAAAAAGGCTTGCGAGGTGGGATCTCCATGGCTACCAAACGGTACGCAAGAGCCAACAATAAGTACGTGGAAGGCTACGACTCTAGCAAGCCAACCAATCACATTCTCTACCTCGACGCCAACAACCTGTACGGCTGGGCTATGAGTCAGTATCTACCCACAGGGGGATTCGAATGGGCGTCACCCGATTTTGATGTTATGAGCATCGCGTCAGATTCGAACAAAGGTTATATCCTCGAGGTTGACTTGGAGTACCCCAAGGCATTACACACATCACACAACAGCTACCCCCTGGCCCCCGAACGTATGAGGGTTAACCGAACTGGATGTCTGAGTACCAACATAACTTGTTAGGTGGCGGTGACAGACGTTGAAAACTCGTACCCAACTTAATGAATAAGACCAAGTACATCGTTCACTATCGCAACCTACAGCTGTACCTGTCGTTGGGTATGAGGCTGAGCAAAATACACAGGGTGCTCGTGTTCGACCAGAGCCCATGGATGGAGCCTTACATCAGAATGAACACAGACCTCCGAAAGCTTGCCACCAGTGACTTTGAGAAAAACCTCTACAAGCTCATGAACAACTCGGTGTTTGGTAAGACTATGGAGAACCTGAGGAAACGCGTGACCGTGAAGCTGGTTCGGTCAAATGAGGAAGACAAGCTCAGGAGACTGATAGCCAGTCCGGCATTCAACCGTAGTAAAATATTCACCGATGACCTAGTTGCCCTACACATGAAGAAAAGCCACATAATATTCAACCGACCTGTTTACGTGGGGATGAGCATCCTCGATTTATCCAAACACCTGATGTACGACTTTTACTACAACGAGCTTAAGAAACAGTACGACGACAGGTGTGAAGTGCTGTACACTGACACAGATTCCCTGCTGATGGAGATTCGAACCGAGGATGTGTACGAGGACATGAAAAACCACCTCGATTTGTACGACACCAGCGACTACCCCAAGGACCATGCCATACACAGTACGGTAAATAAAAAGGTCCTAGGTAAGATGAAGGACGAGTGTGCTGGCACGCCCATAGCCGAGTACATAGGGCTGAGACCTAAGATGTACTCCATACTGAAAGCCGACAATAGTGAGATCCGGAAGGCTAAGGGCGTTAAGAAGTACGTGGTGAAACAACACATCAAACACGCCAGATTCAAGGAAGCCCTGTTCAAGACCCGTACCTTTAAACATAAAATGAACACACTTAGAAGTGATGGCCATAGGATATACGGACTGACTATAAACAAGACGTCTCTGTCGCCTATGGATACTAAACGTTGGATAGCTATTGATGGGATAAACACGTACGCGTATGGGCATGAGAACATTGAACCAAGACATGTCACGGAACCAGAGAAAGTTTGAGGCTATTTACTATAGCCCGCGTGGGTATTGGAAAGGAGCTAGCGCTGTAGATAAACTGGCTAAAATGGCGCGAGTACCCCCGGAGGAGGCCAAAGCGTGGCTTGAAAAACAAGCCCTATGGCAGATCTATTTGCCGCCACCACGCTACGTACCTAGAAGGAAGTTTGGAATTAACATACCTAATAACGTTCACCAGGCAGACCTACTGTTCCTACCCCACGATAAGAGGTACAAGTATGCCTTAACCGTAGTGGACGTAGCCAGTCGCTACAAGGAAGCCGAACCCTTGACCGCGAAAGATTCTGTCCAGGTAGCCAGAGGATTCGAACGCATATACAAACGCAGTCCGCTGACGTGGCCAACAGAGCTACAAGTTGACCCCGGGTGAGTTCATGGGTGCTGTGTCACAACTGCTAGCCAAACGATACAAAAGGTCAGGCGTGGCATGGCCGAGCCCATCGCATGATCAAGCCATAGTTGAGAGATTTAATAGGACTTTAGCTGAGCGTTTATTCGGCCATCAGTATGCGAGGGAGATGGCCACCCCGGAAAAACGATCGACTGAATGGGTCACGATGTTACCTAAGGTGGTGTCGGCAATCAACCATGAAGTCACCCGTCTCACCGGTCAAAAGCCAGCAGACGCTATCAAACTAAAATCAATAGTTGCAGAGTCGGCCGCTCCATTGCGTGGGAAGGAGAAACAGATACCAGATAGGGCCCTAGTTAGGTATCTATACCAGCATGGGGAACACGAGGGTGATAGCCGTAAGCGAGCCACCGATCCTATATGGTCAGTCAAAACTTACAACATAGATAAAGTTGACATGAAAGCCGACGAGCCTAACTTGTACTACTTGAGGGATGGACCAGGCAGAGGGTTTGTAAGAGAAGAATTATTGATAGTACCGTACGGCACAGTGTTACCACCAGTCAACGTGGCATAGATGACAATTCCCCTTGGGAGGAAGCGCAATACATTTCTATTTCTCCCTTGGGGAATTGTGGCTGCCGGGGGACATTTTACTAGTAGGGGTAATGGCAGCAAGAGCTAAGGGTCCGACCAAAGCCTTATCTGTGAAATAAGGCTTTGCAGAGGCTTTTGTTGGACCTGGTCCAGAACCGCTATTACCTATACTACTACTGTCCACATCTCGGAATCTCGAAGATCATAAGGTGAGCGTCCCTGACAGTTAAATTTGTTAAAATATGGTTGATATTTGTTTTCTGGTTAACCCATAACAGTCTATACAAATGTTAGCTACATGTACATTATTTAATGAGTACCAACGTTGGACGGGCGTCAGTGCCACAGGCCCCCACTGCGGGTCAGAAAATCGATAAACTAAGCCCTGGTTTACTATCCAGCCCCCCTACTATATAGGGTCAGAAAATCGATAAACTAAGCCCTGGTTTACTATCCAGCCCCTACTATATAACATGTTATATAGTAGGGGCTGGATAGTAAACCAGGGCTTAGTTTATCGATTTTCTAATGAGAGGCTGGATAGTAAACCAGGCTTAGTTTATCGATTTTCTGACCCGCAGTGGGGCCTGTGGTCATGCATGCAACAATAATGCTTCGTTTTCGTATTCGAAGAAATCGTGTCTCTATCCACGTAGGCAATTATTCCAGGAAGTCTACTTTCGGTCCTGTACTTTCGTTATTGAGTCTTTTTCAGGAAGGGTCGATTGTGATAGTATGGTGGACGGTTTGCTAAAGGACTTTGGTTTGCACGAATGTGAATGAAAGATCTAATGTCGGTTTCGTTCAATTTGTTGCATGAAATGAAGAGAACAGATGCAGGTCTAGGTAAAATCAATTCTTTACTAATAAGTCATCTATCAGTCAACAATCTAAGAGAAAACACGCGGGTTTCATTGTTCGGGTCCCCTTATGTTTGTATAGATTGGTCCATATATGACGTAATTAATTTTCCTGGGATCGGGTGCAGAACTGTCCACGTCTCGGAATCTCGAAGATCATAAGGTGAGCGTCCCTGACAGTTAAATTTGTTAAAATATGGTTGATATTTGTTTTCTGGTTAACCCATAACAGTCTATACAAATGTTAGCTACATGTACATTATTTAATGAGTACCAACGTTGGACGGGCGTCAGTGCCACAGGCCCCCACTGCGGGTCAGAAAATTGATAAACTAAGCCCTGGTTTACTATCCAGCCCCCTACTATATAGGGTCAGAAAATCGATAAACTATATAACATGTTACATAGTAGGGGGGCTGGATAGTAAACCAGGGCTTAGTTTATCGATTTTCTAGTAGGGGGCTGGATAGTAAACCAGGGCTTAGTTTATCGATTTTCTAGATGGGGGGCTGGATAGTAAACCAGGGCTTAGTTTATCGATTTTCTAGTAGGGGGGCTGGATAGTAAACCAGGGCTTAGTTTATCGATTTTCTGACCCGCAGTTGGAGCCTGTGGTCAGTGGATGCTGACTGTTCACTCGGACACTAACGCTAGGGTTCGAACCTTTCAAGGAACCCTTTTTATTATTTTACGCTGGATTGAAAATTCAGGCGAACAGGAGATGGTTAACACAGGAAAACTGATGAGAGCCTTACATTGTCTGACTGGTACAAATATGAGGTAGTGTTCTGGCCAAAATAGCTACAGTTTGAAATGACTGCAAACAGCATTCGGAAATGGCCACACCCAAAAGTCATAGTGGCCACAAAGTGACAATGTACGTGAAACAAAAGCCGAAATAGTCTCAAGAAAATGTATTGTACAATATGAAGGCTGATAAAAAGTGTTAGGCCAGGGTGCCGTTAACGGTGCAGCCACTATCGTAACAATTATCTTTCTCACAAGAAGGTCAGCATATTACATTTAAACCTAGTTACATACATGCATGCATGCATGCATGCATGCATACATACATACATACATACATACATACATACATACATACATACATACATACATACATACATACATACATACATACATACATACATACATACATACTTACTTACTTACTTACTTACTTACTTACTAACTTACTAACTTACTTACTTACTTACTTACTTACTTACTTACTTACATACATACATACATACATACATACATACATACATACATACATACATACATACATACATACATACATACATACATACATACATACATACATACATACATACATACAATACATACATACATACATACATACATTTGTACAGCGCCGATATCCAGCTCAGCTGCTCAAAGGCGCTTTGTTTTCCCCTCGTTCCCTGGATGTCAATCTCAACGGCACATCGTATTGTCAGTCTCAACTCCCTGGGGATCATAGTTAGGGACCGTTCATACACTGATGGCTGGGAGGTGGGTGGGGGAGGTGGTGATGATTTTCATGGAGAAGCATGTACAATGTGAATGACCCCCCATAAAATCTATGTACAAAGTAAGTGACCCTGCCCTGCATGTCATGTACAAAATCAATGACCCCCCTTCCCCTTTCCCATAATGTTTAAGCATAATTTTCAATTGTTCCTATGTACAAAATTGCTGAACACCTGATGGATTCTCACATATATGGATGCTTGTCTTAGTGTTGACACGTGACCTACGACAGAGACCATCCTCACAAGAAGTTGTGGTGCTGAATTCTAAAGGTGCATTGCGCCTACCTTTAGAATTCAGCACCACAAACTTTACAAATATGTCACAATACCATATGACATATTTGTGACTACCTTGTTACCAAAGACACTGGCAAAACATGTCCTGTGATGTGAGCTCCTCTCTAGTGCTGTGACGATATATCATAGTATCGATATTATCGTGATACTTTATCTGACAATAAATATATCGATACTTTTTTTCGTATCGTGATATGTATCGTTGACCTTAAAGTTGTGAATTTTCACTAGAAATTGACGGTTATGTCGAAATTTACACTGTTACTTGCTATCAAAACATACTTTTTTAAAGAAAGTAACTAAAGATAGCATATCGTGATATGCATCGAATCGAATCATATCGTTCCAAGATATCGCGATACGTATCGTATTGTGAAATTTCAGTATCGTCACACCTCTGCTCCTCTCAGTGTTCTGCACTTTCGATATACATTGTCATTTAGTAAGTGTTGGGTGTTGTTAAAAATATTTGCATGCTAAATATTGCTGCAGTGACGCATTTTATAGAAAGTGCCTGTTTATGAAAGCACTTTCATTACAAGTTGTTCACTGGTCACGAGGGGGGGGCATGGGTTGATGTTCCCTTGATGTTTGTTTATGTTATGAACAACAAATTTATCTTACCGAACACCTTGATGTGAATTTGAATTGTTTGAAGCACGGATACAAATCTTTTTGTAGCCATCGCTAGATTTTGCTGACAAGAAAAACATATTTAGATTTGTCTCCCTTCCACTATTGCACTCGCAAAACATTGGTAATTTCCGTACATCATACGTGATTCAATGTTATTCGAGATAAAGAATTACTACCACGAAGTACAGAGTGAGTTGCCATTGACAGAGGGGTACATTGAAATGTTATTCGCTTGTAATAATAGAAGAGCGCTCAGCCAATCAGAAAGCGACATTTATGTGTAAGGTAAGATAAATAATAATAGTTCACATTTCACATTCAACTGAATATATGGGACTTAATGAATCATAAATGGGGACTAGTTTACGTATTTTTTTGTCATTCAGTTAATTGCATCACAGCACAGGAATAGAGTACATTTGTCGAAGCTGCACACATCCACCTTACATGTACCGTCACATCTACCATCACAGACCCGTGAAGATCCGGGGTAGAATAGGTCTTCAGCAACCCATGTGCTTGCCATAAAAGGCGAGTATGCTTGTCGTAAGAGGCGACACTAACGGGATCGGGTGGTCAGTTTCGCTGACTAGGTTGACACATGTCATCAGTTCCCAATTGCGCAGATCGATGCTCATGCTGTTGATCACTGGATTGTCTGGTCCAGACTCGATTATTTACAGACCGCTGCCATATAGCTGGGATATTGCTGAGTGCGGCGTAAAGCTAAACTCACTCACTCACTCACTCTACCATCATATCTCAACAATAAGTTAGATATTTTGTTTCCGGTTTGAAAATGACAAGAAAAATAAGTGCTGGGGGTTATACCCCTTTTGTTGTTTAAAGACAGGAGCTGAAGCTTTTGTCGTGTATTTATCATAATTTTTTATTGCTTTAACATTTTTAATGATGACATGAAATTTAATGTTAAAAAATTAGGCTAATGGTAGTTGTCCTTTAACTTGTACTTAAGCCACATTTGCATCCTACATTTGTTCATAAATGATTCGAAACCACACTTGCCCTCGTAGCATCACCAGCCAAGCTTAAACCATCCTTTTTCCTAATTATGATCCACATTTATACACTACACTATTCACTGCATCAATTTTCTCCCCCAAAGTCACCTGATGATTTGACATCTGACACTTACATCTACAGCTGCCATTTAACTTCTTGCCATATCAGCACATTCCAGACCACTCGGTATCTTGTAGGTTACAAAATGAGACGAATGGGCCAAATGGCATCGAAATCATCCATAAATTGTCAGCAGATTTAAATCACTGATGCAAAGTTTAACGAAAACCTTCATAATGATCCGTGAACTTTTCAACCCTTTCTGTTATTTCAGTAACTCTCAGACTCTCAGTTAGCTGTTAGGCTAACAACCCAAAGGTTGTGTGTTTGTGTCCGACAGATTCTCAATAAACTGGTTCCTTGTCTTGGTGACAGGGATACAAATGCATTTTTTTCCAAGGGTGCCATTGTGCACCAGACAGATAAAATAGGTGTGTCTTTGTGAAAATAAGTGTGCCCATACTTTCTGATGATCCATTTAAACTTACAACATCACAACAGGTATAACATTTCAGTTGATTGTTTAATAAATCAGTTAACATGATGAGTGCAAACAGTTTTTATTTAAGATTGCTTATGTACCATCAGCAGCTTGTACCCTATGTAACGAACCAAATGAAACAATTTCGCATATCTTATGTAAATGTTTATATTCTGTTGATGTATGGGAAAAGCTATGGAGTGTCTTAGAATGGATTGGAAATTATACAGAAGGCAGAATCACCTTCAGTGAAGAACATTATACTGTTTTTAAAGAACAACTAAACTTTGTTTTTTTGTACTCTTTTAACTATTACATATGAAAGATTTGTGGTTAGACTTATGCGGAACACCAAATTCATTCTTAAAAACTTGTGGTTAATTAATACCGAGCGATTAAAAGTTGCCAAATAGTTGCCTGCTTCAGTCTCGCCCGCCAACGAAACCACAGACAGGTTACGTAACTCTGTCGCCAGAGCACTGCAGTGACGTCATATGAGGAACGATTTTCAGTTAGTTGTATAGAAAGTGTGTAGCACGCTCATCATTTTGATGATTTCTCGACATCAACGACGACATGCCGAATCGTTGCTTTGTCGTTAATTGCTCCTAGGGGTCGGGCGATGGTGTCACCATGCACAGTTTTCCACAGGACCCCGCAGTTCGTGCTAAATGGATTATGTTTGTGAGTGCGAAGCGACCGTTGTGGAAGCCTGAAACGATATCTTACTTGTGTTCAGATCGCTTCACGGAAGTTAAAGAATCAAAACTACTTACTAGTTGTAGTAAAATATGTATATGATTGATGACCATAAAGATTTTCCATGACACAACTTGTAACATCTTCCTCGGAATCGAGGTTGTGGTCGAAGTAACAATAATATTGTAAGTGGTATTATATTGACACTTACCTCGCTGCCACGAGAGAAATTGTTATGTTATAAGCTATGTCATGCAAAATCCTATTGGCCATCACTCAAATACATATTTAACTACGAGTAGAAAGTAGTTTTGATTTTGTAACTTGGTGAAAACAAACCTAAATAGCATTTATCCTCAGACTGGCGGATGTTCGCGACAGGGCGCCGCCATGTTTGAAAATCGTAAAGTGACGGGCTAAAGTCTGTTA